GGGCGGGGAGGGGCCCCCACGGGCCAGCGGGCCCGGAGTGGGGGGGCCTGAGGGAAGATCCCTCCCCTCCCGGCCCGCGCCCACCTGCGCTCCCAGCCAGTCCCCACCGCGGCGGACCTGGGGGTGTGCAGGTCAGGAAGGTGCTGGTCTTAGGAATTCTCCCCACAAAAACTGGGTGCTGGGAGACCCTCGCCCAGCCTCCACCCCCCACCAGAGCCTCCGGGAGCCCCCCTCCTGGCCGGGGCCCGCCCTCCGCCCATCCACACCTGAGGTCCTGTCACCTGGGCAGCTGGTGTCCACCCGGTCAGGTGACCCTCGGGCCATGACCCTCCCTGAGGAGCCCGACGTTCGGAGACCCCAACTGGCCGCTGGCCGCTCAGGCCTCGCCAGTGCCCCGGCCCGGCAGCCCGAAGGGCCGGTCCACGAGGCCGCACCCCAGCCTCCCCGAGCGAACCAGCGTGAGGGGCCCACAGAAGCAGGGTCCCCGGCTCTGTGCAGAGGGCAAGAAGCCCAGTGCCCTCGCCCACACTGAGGCCGGGCGTCTCCCTGGGCCCTGGGAGCCCGGCCCGCCCCGGGGCCGTGCGGAGCCTCCGCTCCCCCTCGGGCAGGAGGGGCCACTGGGCTCCCTCCCGCCTGACCCCAGTGCCCGGGAGCTCGGGAGGGCCCAGCTGCGCCGGCAGCCGCCCGGAGGGCCCCGGGGCTTCCCGTCGCAGCCCTTCGGGGCCCGGAGCCCCGGATATGGAGGCAGTGCCTTGGGTGTGGGGACAGCCCAGGTGGGGGCAGCCCAGATGAGGGGAGCCTGGGCGCTGGGAGGGCCCGATGGGCGTGTCCACAGGCCGCTTTGGGGGCAGCATCCAGACGAGCCCCGGCTGGGCCCAGCGGACAGCAGACTCAGCGCAGCTGGCCCGGCAGAGGCTACCCTGCTGGCCAGTCCTTGCTGCCGAGCCTGCCCTGGCGCCCCGCCCGCCTCCCCCGTTGGGCTCAGGCTGGAGACCGGCGCCAGCAGGGCACCCCAAGTGCACACAGCACCCCCTGCAGAGCGGCCCTGGGCCCCCACTCGGGCACTGCCGGTGGGACTCAGGGCTTCCACGGGGTCCCCGCGGCCGCTGGGCGCAGCAGGGCGAG